GTTCTTTTTAAATAACAATTTAGAAAAATGAATAGCGTCAATGTACCTATCAACCTTCATTGTTGTGATATGTAACAATGAATAATTCTTACGTCCATTTTCCATTTGAACTTTTTCTAGTCCTTGCAGAACCTTTTTTTTTCCGATTTAGCAGAATGAATAAATTGTGTCTCTGGAATACTCTTGTAATATTGCGAAAGAAATAAAACTCTTCCACAGAATCATTTTCAGTTTACCTGTCGATTAAAACTTTTGTCAGTTCTCTTGTCCCATTGAATAAATACAACAGCTATTCTTCTTTGGGGAGTTTATTCACTGGGACGTTTAGATTTCTTCTAAGAGAAATCCATCACTCATTGATTAATTTAGCTGAAGAACAAAAATATCTTCTAAGTAGATGAAAATATATTTATCAACATGTGAATATCAATAATATATTTGTAGGACTCGGAGGTGCGATGGGGACGCTGAAGTGCGACGGTCTGCGCCGAAGTGCGATGGTCCGTTCGCTGATGTGCGATGGTCTATATGACGCGTGATGGCTAGTTAAAATCTGCAGATGTGCAAATATTATGAGAAGTAGATTTTTTTTTAATAGTTAGTAGATTAATTTCCATTATTTATTGTCTAGTCTATGTATGTCCTTAGTTACAGTTGCATACTAAATGAGAGATCGTCCTCTTTGATTTTATGCATGTGGGCATTTGATCCCTCATGAGTTCCTCGTTTACCGTAATATAATAATACGAAGAGTCTGTCTGTGGACCAGTGTGTAATAAGAGAACCTTTTGTATATTTCGAAAAAAAATCCCCTACAGAAGGTTAACTTTCCCCTCTCCACCAATTACTCCCCGTTTCCCATAGTAATAAAAGTTTATAAGCCCCTTATTAACTTAAAAGCCCGAAAAACTGCTTCTAACAAACAAATAGACTTTTTCATCGACATGAAAAGCATTGAAAATATAGTTTATGTAGTCCATCGCACTTCAGCGTCACTACCAACGCACTTCAGTGTAGCTATCAACAAGATAGCGGCACAATGCCACCATCGCACTTCGGCGTGAACAAAAACGCACTTTGAACAGCGTCCAACCATCGCACTTCAGCGTGACCATCGTGGTTCCGAGTACCATCGCGGTTCAGAGTCCTACATATTTTCATGCAATCTGTTCAACATAAACACTGATTTAATCATAAAAAGTTGATTTCTGACAAAATTTTGAATCGATAGGTAAACTGCAAATGATTCTATGGAAGAGTTTCATGTCTTTCGCAATAAATGTTGAAGGTTAATCGCAGTAATATCGAGAGCAGTCATAGTCAAGTTCCAGAACGTAATTTTATTTAGAATATGCCAATAATCAGGTCAACCTGCCGGTTGAAAACATAGTAGAATGTTTAACTTAATCATATTTAGGTTAGATTGGTTGATGGTTGCTTGCTTAACACCCAATAGCAATTGTTTCATGCGTATTCTGGACAACGGAACGTTTTAACCATCAATAAGAGAGGTATAGGATCTTCAAGGTTGACGTCTGCCGAGATGAAGGATAGGAAACTTCAAATGACACCGGAAATTAAGGGTGTGTTGGATAGGGACAGAAATTTTGTTTTAACTGCGAGCCACCTATTGACCCCTCAGAGACTTGTTACAAGAGATTTTTTTAACGCATAGAGAGCCAAAGAACCCATCCTACACGAGGCATCATATTCAACTTCTCTATTCATACGGATCAGTGTTTTCGCCATCAATCACCAAAAAGACCATCAAACCCTGCGCCAAGCAGCCATAAATATGTTAAGAAAAATTCGTAAGGGAGTCCGCGGAACCCTGTGTCTCGCCTGCGATTGCTGATGTCAGTGTAAAAGTGTAATCTTGACTTAAAAAGTGAGTCCATTTATCAGTAATATACAGAATTTGAAAAAAAAAATCAAACTTTTTCTTTAGATGCTATTTCATGGTCTTGAAGATTAGCATCTGTCCAAGTTTCATAACAATCCATGAAGGTTTACAAATTGCAAATGTATCATGTCAAAAAAGTGTAAGTCCATATATCTGTAAAATAAGGAAAAAATGAGAAATAAATATTTTCAAAATTTGGTCTGGATAATATATTTTGGTCATTAACAAGCTTCTATCCAAATTTGCTAAAATTCCATGAAGGTTTGACAAAGTTGTTGATGTCTACTTGAAACAACTTTAACTACAGACTGAACCTAAATGTTGACGCCTCCGATGACGGAATCTAGGATCGCTATATCTCGTTTTCGCGACATCAATGTTACAGGTCGACAAAAATGAAATTCATGAGAAATGTTAATATATTATACAATCATATACCAAATATAAGCTTATAACATTGTATTATCAAGAGGAGTAAATTCATTTTCTTAGTCTCATGGTTGTCATTTTGCTCAACAGGTACGATGTCAAATAGATCCACTGTATCTTAACACAAATATATACTAACAATAATTTAAATACTATTTGAAGTAGCATCATAAGTAGCATCATCATTAAAGATGGATTCATGCTACTTCTATTTGCTATTTGAAGTAACAGAGTCAATGTCAGTTGTTCTGTGAACAGAAACTATTTATTGGAACAGACGCGCTACAGATTTTGCTGCCAAATAAGATTTAGGAAAAGAACTAAAATTTGTCAAAAATCATCATTCAAGCCCCAAAAGGGGCAATAAGAACTATTAGGGGTTAATTTAGCATTTCAATCGAATTGGCATATTTGAAGATCATTTTGTGTTAACAGTTTGTCTATCAATAAGTAGTTTTCAAGACAATAGACAAAACAATTGTGATTTAAGGGCCTATATGGTCTTATTAAGCATTTCATTCAAAAATTTTAGTAGATCTTCTATTGCAGATATTTTTTTCTGTTTACAGTTTCTTTCCATCTATTATTTGATGCGGATCCAAGATTTCGAAGGGGGAGGGGGGCAAACTAGTCAACGTCTATAGTGGGACATGTAAAACGTCCATGCATTAACCATATATGTAGCTCCATAAAGGGGGCCCGTACCACCTGATTATAGTTAAAAGATAACAGGCAAAAATGCTAAATGTCGTTATTTAAGGGCAATAACTCTTGTAAAAACTTAATTGAGCATTGAAATGATATTGATCATATCTGTAGATCTTTTATTGGTCTTATTTGTCTTTTACAGTTTCTGTCTATCTGTTATAGCTTTCAAAGTAATAGGTAAAAGTTCTAGTATTTGCTATTTAGGGGCAATATTCGGCAATAACTCCCATCACGGTTTGACTGAGAGGACAGGGCAATCTTATCTCCATGGAAATGAGATGTACTGATACTTATACAACTGCATATAAACTATTAAAGACTTATATATGGTTCCCTAAATACAGACTAATCACAAACTTAAGCATGTACATTGCAAAATTTCAAAGTCAGTAGACCATGACTGAGGGGGCAGGGCCAAATAATATTCATGGAAATGAGATATTCAAATGCTTTTACAACTGCATACCAAATATCAAAGGATTTAGCTTTAGTGGTTCGCCATAAACTGATCTAATCACAAACTTTAACAAATTGTTGACGCCTCCAACCATGCTGTAAACAACATTTCTACATTTCGCTTTTAAACTCTTGTCAAGGCAAGACAAATATAATGCATTGAATAAAATCTCTAAGCCAATTTAAACAAAAGTCTGTTTATACATGTATTTGCATCCATTTGTCCTAAACAACAACAAACTGTTGACACAGAAATATGACCTTCAGAAAATTCAGAAAAAGACAGTCTGATGGACAGCAACATTGCTATTTAATTCAATATCGCTGTACGATGAACAAGGCAGCAGGGTCTGGAAATGGTACACAACTTGAGATGTACTGATAGTTATGCAACTTTATAGAATATATCAATGTCTATCATAAGTAGTTCCTATCAAACATACTTAAGGAGAAAACTTAACATTGAGAATTGGTTATTAATTCAGTCACTGGACCCTGACAAAAGAAGTCGGGGCCTTGAAATAGTCGCCAGCCTTATATGTACTGATAGTTATGCAACTTTATAGAATATATCAATGTCTATCATAAGTAGTTCCTATCAAACTTACTTAAGGAGAAAACTTAACATTGAGAATGGGTTATTAATTCAGTCACTGGATCCTGACAAAAGGAGATGGGGCCTTCTAATAGTCGTCAGCCTGATATGTACTGATAGTAATGCAACTTTCTTGAAAACATCATTGATCAATCACAAGTAGTTCCTTTCAAACTTACTTAAGCAGAAAACTTAACAATTGTTGACTCCGCCAACAATGCTGGAAAAGCAACAACCGTTTCTCCCCTTCCGAGACTTTCGTCCCAGACGAGACAATAAAACCAAAACAAATCAAGACTTCCCAAATGTAGATATAAAGTACTAGTAAGTATATAATCTACAGTTTCACTCTCTTTCCTACCAACATTTTTGTTGTATAAAAAAGCAAGTAGATCATTACAACCTTTTTGCTTACTTTTAATTTTATTTATAGATGAAATGATATAAGGACTCTCCTGCAACCGTTAACAGAATTACTTGATGCATTGTAAATTTTTTTTTATTTTGATTCTAAACTTAATTGACTGTTGAGGTTTAAGACCACTTTCAGCACACATCTATATCATTGTCGGCCAGTTTTATATTGCTGAAAAAAGCTGGAGTACCCAGAGAGAACCTAGCACTCCTAGTCAATAACATGAGAGGTGTATGTACATTGTCAGGAGCAGGGATTCAAACTCACTTTCCCAGTGTTGACAGGCTAGTTATAAATGTAGATGAACTACTTATAACACTCGGCCATCGAGGTCCCTTTGATAAAAGGACAAGATGCAATCACAAACAATCCTACTGTAAGTTAATACTCAACCCAACTCTTTTTGTGAAAATAAACTAATTTATAGTCCAAAGCCTCGAACACAAGTGAACTAAAAATGTCAAATAGAAACTATAATTTGATTAAGTACTAAATTAAAATAATAAAAATATACATACATTTTTATTTCATAGATATAAATACATTAAAGTGACATTCTACCGTACATGATTTTACTAAGATTTATTTGAGGACAATGTTATTAACTGAATACGTCTAGATTTCTGGTTTCCTGATGCCGATTTTATTGTAAGTCCTGTAGATGGAGCTGCAGGAGTTTTCTTATTTGCACTATTTTTGTCTGCCTCTGTTGATTGATTTTTTTCACCATTTTCACTTGCTGGTCTATCTGATTGGTCAGTTTTTGTTCCCTTAGTAACAGGACTTGCAGCCAACTGAACATCATCTGTGCTTGTTTCCAAGACCAGTTTTAAATCTTCGCTGTCAATATCCATGACAACTGGTTCCTCACTCTAAAAAAGAAAAAGAAATCAGTAACTTTATCAAAGACAAGACAAAAAAAAGTTTAACAAATCTATTAAAAGTCATCATTATCTTATGCTTGTTATATACTTTAACTTTCACTCTACTAATGTATTGAATTGAAAGAACTGAGACATACTGCCATTACTTGAAGGCTCAAATTATTTCCATATTCATCATCCTCATTTGTGTTGACTATAAATAAAGGACTTGACTTCAGAAACATTTACCCAGACTGACTCAATAATAAAATTGAGAATGGAAATGAGGAATGTGTCAAAGAAACAACAACCGGACAAGAGATTAGAAAACAACCCAAGGCCACCAATAGGTCTTCAAGACAGCGAGTAAATCCCTAACTCGGAGGCGGATTTCAGCTGGCCCCTAAACACAATGATGTCTTTGAATAATGCAATTTCAGCTATCACATCAGATAGTTTACACTGTCAAGTTAAAAAGTACAGGAAAACCGCTCCCATATGATGCAGAGAATATGTGAATAAATGAAAAGGTCTACATTAATTGTTTTTAGACTCTTCACAAGATGAAGATTGAAACTGCAAGCATATATGTTTGATATTTCATATTCTCCATCAATGTACTGAGAATTTTGTTTGCATCATACTGGACTTTACTTCATACCAACATAATGGTATTTCTACTTCATATAGTGTTCATGTCAGAAATGGCTAAAGATTTCATCTGTGATTTGTTTTGTTTGGATCACGAGGATCAATTTGTAAAAAAATATCAAAATTATGTGTTACTGTTAATTCTTCATTTTCCTTTTGTCTCAAAGTGATAGTTAAACTGAGACTAAGAGAACAGACCTGCCAACTTTTGAAAACCTCCATGGGGGATTTTCCCCGGGGAAAAAAATTCAAATGTATCGCTTCATCTTGTGACTGTTTTTTTTTTATAATGTCCAGTAGAAAGTATTTCATGTATATTTAGGATCAATTTTGGTTTGTTTCTTGAACTCTTGAGATTGTTTTGATGCTGTGTGTATCATTCTGTGTAAAGATGTTTCTTTCATTTGGTTCATTTGTTTTATTTGTTTTATTTGTTTTATTTCAGTGTTATATTTGTTTTATTTCAGTGTTTTATTTGTATTTTCACTGTATCTATTTAAAATAAATTGATTCAGGTCATTCTGCCATTTTTCAAGAAAACGGCATGGCAAACGTTTCTTCTTGCTGGGTGGAGTAGCAACCATTGTGATAGTTTGAACTGTTATGATTCAATTCCATTTTTCATATCCTTTTATAACAATTGTCTCAATGTGCAAACAGCATCCAAGCCTTTACGTTTAATTTGCAAAATTCCTTTGATCAGTTATAATTAAGATAATTATTAACTATGTTCACCTGATTAAAGAATTTTTTTAACTAGTTAACTTGATTATAATATAATTAATCTCAATTAAATGATAAGTAAAAAAATTAAAACAGTTAATTATGTAACTCCCAAGCTGATCGGTATAAATAACAAAGATCAATAATTTTATTACCAATTAAGACCCATAAAACTTTGACAAATCATTGATTTTATTGAGGCACGTGTATATGTTTACATAATACTAAGTGTCAAAACAGATCGATAATCCTCAGGTAAATCAACATGACCCGAATATCAGATACTACGATGAATTTGATTGGATAATATCTCTATGTTGTCCTCCATTACCGGAAATCGGTAAGAATAAAATTTTCTCGGGTAGAATTTATGAAAATCGGGTTTTTTGCTTGTTTTAGGAACCCGATATCGGGATTCGGGTTGAGGCATGAAAATCGGGATAATACCGCCAAAATCGGGATAGTTGGCAGGTCTGCTAAGAGAATAATATGTTTAATTTAATAATTTTATAATAAAGACATTTTAACATATATTCAGTTTAAAACATAAAAAATAAATACCTTAGAACTAACAGAGGATGCTGAAGGACTACTTGATTTCTCAATTTCTTTAACAGGTTCAATATATGGGACACCAAGTTCTTCTTTGTCAAATGTTACTATGGTACAATATCCATCTGTAGAACTCACAATGAGAAACTGTCCATCTGGAGACCTGAAATGGTAGAAAAATCATCTGAAGAAATGAGAAGCTGTTCATTAGACGGCCTTTAATTTCACAAAATGTATCTCTAGAACTACTCACAAGGCAATATCAGGATCTTTCACTGCACAAAACTGGAGGAACTGCAAGCAAAGCTCACAAAATAAAACCCCAGTCCCAAAATGGCAAGTCCACAGGTGGGGGGTATCTTTTCTTATATAAAAATATACACAGATGTGCTGCTGGTATTTGTAACTTTTTTGGAAAGTCTTATTACATTGATGGGGTGCTATTTCACGGAGGTAATATACTAATGGGTAAACATTTATATGTCAAAGGGTCATAAAAAATAAGATCATGATAGCTGGGAAATATATATAATTGGGTTGTTTCATTTGAAATATATGAATGGGTAGGGATTTTTGTATAAATCAATATATGAACGAGGATGGTTTTCAAACTCCAGCCAGACATCTGTACCCAAATTTGTATGTTGATACCCCTTCCCAACATGAGCAAGTCTTTAATTTGCTTATGGAAAACCCAAAAACAATTCAAACAAAGCAATTAGGTGTACAATGCTATAATATGGTTGAGATTCTGAGAAAGTTTCAATAAATTCTAATAGTGAGTTAAAAGGAGTCACAATACAAAAATGTATTTGAAAGAAAAAGCAATGGATAAGTCCATAATTAGCTAAGGGAAACCTCAATAAAAATTTGAGTAAAAAAAAAAATAATAGGTGCACAATTTCATCATAAGGTGAAGATTCTGAGAATTTTCAGTAAGATCTGATTAGAAGTTTTGAGGATATCTGATGAGTTTCTTTAAACTCTAATTAGAAGTTTAGAGGATACAAATATTAAATTATCTTACCATGCCAAATCACTAATTTGATGATAGTGTATATTAGTCACATGAGCAAATGGCATCTGTTGTTGTGTATCATAGAACAATACTGAGTCCTCTGTTCCTACAGCAAACACTGTTCTGTACGGTAAACTGACAATAAAAAACACATATTGATTCCAGAAACTATAAATGAGTCAACCACAACTTAATTGACTTCTTCATAAACATCTCTCGTCTATCCCAGATATAGTTGAAACTTTAGTAGCTTAATTCAGGTATAAAGTTTGGTATAGAATTCTTGTGTTCACATTTTACCACATGGGACCTAATTGTACATCTAATTTAGTTCTTATCTTAGATCTACCCCGTCCTTTATCTTAATCTAAAAATAATACTTTTCTAACCTCCATCTGTAAAGTGAATACAAAACCATTAATAAAATGTTAACCACTGTAAACCAAAGTTGTTCTTTTGATGTTTAAATGATTTAAGTTCAAGACAATAGAAGATAGGACTTCACTTCTTAAAATAGAGTACCAGAGTAGATTTATTATTTTATTTTCAATGTATTAGGTGCTTTTTGTACCAGTTCTATAATAAACTGTTAACACAGAGATATGTCTCGCCTATTTGTTATTTTGATAATGCAAATGTTGAAATTAAAATAGCAATACTTTAACATGTAAGTTATGCAAATATTTAAAGTCAATGAACCATGACTGAAGGTACAGGGCTAAACAATCTCCATGGAAATGAGATGTGCCAATGTTAATACAACTGCAAACCAAATTTATACCATTGTCTTTTCGTAAGTCATTCCCTTTAAACAAACCTAAACACAAACATTAACTTGTAAACTATGTAAAAGTTTCAAAGTCAATGAACCATAATTAGGGGGTGGGGTTATATAATCTCCATGGAAATGAAACTTGCAAATGCCAATTCATTTGCATACCAAATATCATTGACTTTACATTAGTGGTTCATCTTAAACTGACCTAATCACAAACTAATACATGAAAACTAAGCAAAAGTTTCAAAGTCAATAGACCATGAATGAGGGGGCAGGGCCAAATAATCTGCATGGAAATGAGATATGCCAATGCTTATACAACTGCATACCAAATACCATTGACCTATCACTAGTGGTTCCCCATAAACTGACCTAATCACAAACTAATACATGTAAACTAAGCAAAGTTTCAAAGTCAATAGACCTTGACAGGGGGCGGGGCCAAATAATCTCCATGGTAATGAGATGTGCCAATGCTAATACAACTGCATACCAAATTTCATTGACCTACCACTAGTGGTTCACCATGAACTAGACCTAATCAAAAACTAATACATTGTTGACGCCGCCCTCCCCGCGCCGACAACAGCATACCTATGTCTCTCTTTTTGACTCTGTCAAGGCGAGACAAAAATGTATCAGGACAATAAATTTCACTCATCTGCAAAGCATTTCCTGAACATTTCTTAATACTTATTCTTATACTCTGCTATAATTCCGTAAAATAAAATGTTTAAATTTTGTTAATTACATCCAGACAAATTTTCTTTAAAGACTTGTGATTTTGTTCTGTAAATGATACAAATTTAAATTTCCAAGAACTATATTTACAAATGCATTATTTTCACTTAAATTACTGCATTTATATTGCTTTAAACATCCTAGACTTGAAAAAGATTTAACACCTCATAATTACCTAAACATTGTTGAATATTTCTCCCATTCCTTCAAATTGTTATTGTTGGTCTGATCTGAAAGGGAAATCATTGAATTAGCAACTGACTTCAAACAATAAGCATTCATTATGTTTTCAATTCAAAAATAGTCATTTCATACAACAAAAAAAACCCTGAAAAATAAAAAGGATGTTACCGATTGTTCTTGATAAAATATCAATTAAAAAGAACATAAATTCTGAATTCTCATCATGCCTATAAATATTTGCTCACAGAGTTACGAAAAAGGAATCTGCAGTACTTTTAACCTTCTGAATGTCATATTGGTTCAATCTGAATTTGCAAGATATTGTATACATGTAGTTATTGAGTTATTAAATCGCATAATTTAAAATACTGTAAACCAACTTATTTTCGTGAATACTTTTTTTCACGTTTAGCCCTTTCTAGCCCACTTCATGACGATTTAATTTCATGATTTTCAAACTCACTTGATGTAGTTAGAATAGAAAAGATCCAAGTTTTAAATGTTCGCGAGATTTATATCTATGTTATTTTTCTACTCACAAAAGTCACGAAAATAAATAGCACGCGAAAACTAGTTGGTTTACAGTACCTCCTGAATACAATGAAGTAACAGACCATTGGCATTGATAAGTTTTTGAGGCCAATTATATTGCCGATATTTTTACTTTTTAGGAACTGATAATACTACTCTTCTAGAAAATTATTTTCTTCATTCTTCATCAGGTTTTCTGTTAAAAATAAACAGATATTCGATACATTTACTTTGCTAAAGTACCCTATTCCTAGATTTCATTTCTTTCCCTTACCCCTTAATTACCTCAAAGTCACTATCTATCTTCAAACTACAGAAGAGAAATCTACACATGAATACCTTCTGATCCAGATTCTTGTCGACTTATCTTTTTCAACTCAAATTTCTGCGGACAACACCGCACACATACAGTTACTTTATTTGGACTAGGTAAATATACAGAAGGTCTGAAAGAAAACAAATAAATACATTTCAGTACGCTGAACTTCTATTGCCTCGATTTGGTGATGCTGGTCCAAATTTGTGGGTCCTATATTAATGTATAGCAAAAAGAATTTAATTAACAACTTAAAGAGATTATCTTTCTTAGAAAAATATCAAGCTCTTCTTACTTAGCAATCTTCCACACAAACAATACATTTCAGCTTCTTTTCGTAATTAAACTATTCATGCCAATGCACTGATATGTATGTTCAATTTTATTTCCAACAACTTGAATTTTGGTGAAAATTGAAAAGAGTGAATGAAAAATTAAAACGTGAATTGCATAATCTAACTTCTTTGATTATTACCTTATTAAAAAAATTTTTTTTGTAAACATACAGCATTTACAGATTTCCTATAAATTGTCCATACTTACTTGGTAAGCAATTGTCGTGAAAACATATATGTAGAATTAATCATTTTGTCACCACATTCCAAGCATCCAGCTGGAACAATCAGAATTTCTCCATCTGGTGTGAAAGTCAAACGACGAAAGAATGATCTCATTGTATCATCGTGGAACATTTTGAAAGACTTTGGCTTATTTTCTGATGGGCTGTCTGACGACTGTGTTGCTGGTTGAGGTAACGACATCTTTGAAACCGTATGTAAACATTTATCATTACTAAGACTAAAAATTCTCAAAGACCTGAAGAAAAAAAAAGAATATTCAACCATGAAGCTGCTTTTAGTGTATATCTTATCTATTTCAACAGAAAAAATAACAATTCCTAACACTATCTTTTGCTGTAGTTCTTAATTACAGAGGTTTCACTTGTCCACTTTGTTATTGAATGTACTATTAAATTGAAGAATTGATATTCCTAGATGTTTTACACTGGGTTTTGTCAACTTTGTTTCTACCGGTACAAATCAACCAGGGTTTTCCATTGGCGGTCGCCCTTTTCGCATTTTGCAAAAAAATAAAAATTGTGCCGATTAAAATTCATTATTGGTGAAAGAATTTGCGAAAGAAATATAACGATTCCATTTCATCCATCTTGTTTACTTTTTTGGGTCTCTCGGACTTTACCTGATCAGACAATACTCGGAATTCATATTGAACTCGTTAAGATTTTGACAGAAAATCAATAATTAGCTGATTGCATTTTATAGCTGTAGGCAACAATGGACTAATAAATAAAGGTGTTGATTGTCTTATTTTACGAAATGATGTGGTTAAATGGCGTCACATGTCACCTAAAGGATTTATATACAACTTTGCAACACACGTGTTTGAGGCAAAGTTTTACGTCTCCTCTTTATCTTTTAACGATTGTCCAGAAAAGAAAACTGTTATGACAAAAACTGTTCAAAAGCAAGAAAAATCTCCCGACTTTAAACTTTATCCTTTAACTTGTAAAGCTATATCATATTTTTTCTTATGAATAACACTTAATCAAATTAAAAATTTCATTCCGAAATTTAAATAATTCCAGTATCATTGTTGTTTGGGATCAGTGGTGGATCCAATGGGGTGGGGGCATATATATAAAAGAAAAAACTGCTTAAATGGCATTTTGCCACCACCCCCCTTACATTGCCAAATTATTTTTATTATATCATGTTTTTCATGTTTATATTTTTTTTTTACTGAATATAATCCATTTTAAGGAATAACGCCTCCCTTTCAAAAATCCTGGATCAGCCCCATGGGAAATTGTTGATTGAGGACATTAAACCAAACTTGTATAAAAAATTTATTATTTTAAAAATATTCCAATACTTTTTTTCTTAATTCTCATCATCCATCAAAAGGTTTGCTTTGCAGTATGTCAATTAACAATAACCCTCACTTCAAGCACATATAATAATAGGATCAACACTGTATTGTCAAACTGTTAAAGGATATATTTACGATTTTAGAAATTGAAAATCACTATTAAAATATCTAGTATGCAAACAACTCCCATGAACCAATCATCATTACTGTTGTTTATGACAGATGCACAATAATAAATGCATACATGAAATTATGAATTTAAATTTATGAAATAAAGTGACAAAAATTTAAACACAGGATATTACCTTAGAATTATCATTGATATGATCATAATCATAATCATAAACTAACTGTTTACAAAACTTTGATATTTTTCAAATACTTAGGAATTGCTACCCCAGAATAGATTACCTAAGCTTTATTTGGCAAAACATTTTGGAATTTTGGGACCTCAATGCTCTTTAACTTCGTACTTTATTTAACCTTTTAAACTTTTTTGATATAAGCGTCACTGATGACACGCGTCTGGCATACAAAATTTTAATCCGGGTATCTATGATGAGTTTATTTAAAGCTAAATTAAAGAAATTAAGCATTATCTAATAAATTTCTTGAGTAATACTGAAAGTGTTATTGTAATAATGACAGTTCAATTTTCAATCTAATGTGTCTGGGTACGGTGAAATGTCTTCCTAGTCTAGTACAAATCAAGGTTCAAATTTATATGACATTACCATGTTCTCATCCAAATATGCGTTATATTTGCCACTGGCATCAAATTCATTCATCATGTTCATCATCCATTTTTTAGGAAAATTAGCAATGTCTCGCATGTTAATATGTGAGCCTTAATTTAATTGTTTCATTTGAAAAATGAATAGGTTATATACAAACTACAATATATATATATAAATATATCCAAGTCTAAATTGAAAACAAGGTTCAAACCTATGATTGCATTGGATAAAAACCGCAATTTTTGTACGTGTGCATGCAAAATATATCTATATATCAATGACAAACATTTTAAATCTCCATGACAGTAATTTTGCACTTCAAGAATTTCTAGAACACCCAGAACACCACAGATTTTAGAAAACATTTTAAGTCCTTGTACAAAAATGGTAGTACAAGCAAGTTGAACTTGCTTAGAAATACCACCTCTGCTAAGAAGTATGTTTAAACAGAAAGTTGATAATTGATGTAAAAATGTATTACATGAAGCTTGATATCAAATTTTAGGGAGCTCTGATTTGTATTTCTCAAGAAAAATGCAACCAAAATTTTATCTGAAACTGACAGACATAAGCCAGTATACTTAAAATTACCCCGGTAGAACAACCCTGAAATAAGAACAGATTTTGATGGTCACTTGAGTGTTTGACAATTAAAGTTCTGCATAATTTCTTTACTTTTACCTTACCTATCTGTACTTAGTGTAGCAACATATTCATTTGAAGGATCAAATGCTACTCCTTGTACAAAACTTTTATGATCATTAAACAATCCCAACTTTTCACCTGGAAGTAAAACATGTAAAATATATATATTTAAACTTTGAAGGAAAAAAATTTGTGAATGTGGAAATTTGAGATATGGAATGGTTGGAGAACATTTTTACATTCAAAAGAACAAACGTATCACAGTGCAATAACATCTTTTGATAGGCAGCGGGTGCAAGACCAAAGTACTTTTCAACACTTACAATTCATCTCTTTCTGAAATAAGTGGTTCTTCTTCAGTGTGCTTTACGAAAACCATGCATGTATGATAATAAACTGTTACAGTGGTTAGTTATTTAAGTTGTGCAAACTGAGGAAATGTTTTTTTCCCATTTAATGAACATATGCAGAAATTGTAAAAAAATGTAAAATCTTTGCCGAACTTTCTCATATAACATTTTAAATTTAAACTTTTACACAATTTCCCCCCTATATTATAGTATTAGCATTGTATGTCTACCTACCTTTAACTATGTCCCACACTATAGCTGTATTATCAACAGAACCAGAGATCATTCTTTTTCCATCAGCTGACCAGCACAAATCATAAACATCTTCTAAGTGACCTCTGAAATAAAAACACAGAGACACAGCCCTCAAATTTCTGACAGATATGCTATATAATCTGCTTGTAGTGGGAATATTTAAACATTTAAACTATGCAAAACATTGAAAGTAAATGAACCATGACTGAAAGTGCAAAATATAAAGCACACAGTACACTTTTAATACCAATAATAAACCAAATATCAAGAAGCCACGATTTGAAGTTGATACAAGTTTTTATAGTTGGAGGAAGCCAGAGTGCCTGGAGAGAACCATTGACCTTTAGTAGGAAAACTGACAATCCCAGTCAAATAAGATTGGAGTTGAGCTCACCTGACAAGTGTTCAATGTTTAAAACATATACATTGATATGTATTTGACAAACAGGAAGTAGATAAATAGATATGAAATAGCTTACCAATATGAAGTCCGATACCAAAACAAATTGACTTCTATACCTTTACACCTCAAGCTATTCTTTTTTTTATTTTTGCCTGCAGCCTTAAAATAAAGGGTTGGTCAGAATTTTTTGGCATATTGACAAAACTCAAGAAAAAGTTAGATATTTTCTCCCAAGTCTGATCCCATTTTACACAACACATTCAGTATTTCACACATGCACAATGATACATATCTAAAAATTTTAATATTTTGACAACTTTTTCACTTGATTTTGGTCAATCTTATTACAAGCATGCCTGAAAAATTCCAAAGAAATAGAATTTGTAGCATTCTCAAACATCACAAAACATTATTTCTTGAATATTTTTTTGAAGTGGGTCTCATTGGAGTCTTAGCGTGATGTGTGAAAGTCAAATTATTTTGCCTGAAAACAGGAAACGAAGTCGGGCAGGACACGTGAAATTACAAGCGCTATTATTGCAATGATAAGCGGGATACAGGATTCTGACAAAACAATAAGCAGGATCCAGGTTCAGACCCCTCCAATGAGACCCCTTTGAATAGTCAATAAATCTTTTAGGGTGGTGATCAAACTTAGGGTCTGTCAAGAGGTAGGAAAAAGGTCTATATTTTTGTTTGCCTTGTCTGTCTAACAAACTGTTAATACCTTAACATTTTGTATGCTGTCCAATTCTCTTTGTTATCTTCTTCATCTTCATTAAAAATATTATTTTGTGGTACAGGGGTGTCACTTAACTTCCAAAACACAATTACACTGTCTGAAAAATAAGGATCAAATAATATGTTAATAGGCATTATCAGAGTATTGACATAAATATCTCACCAGCAACTCTTTTCACATAAAATCTTAAGAGTAAAAATACTCGTAAGTCATGCACATTTCAGTATAACTTACGATCAATTTTAATCGTAAGATTTTTTGTGAAAAGAGTCGCAGATTCTTAAGTTCAAAAACTCCTACAAAAGTCAACTGATAAAAAATTTCTTGTGGATATGCACATCTACATTATATGTCCGCATTTACTAAATTTTTCATGAAATTCTGTTGTGTGGTTTCATAGAAGTTGTGCGGAAAAACTGTTGCAGTAGTATATTACAGGGGTCACCACACCACACATCACAGACTACACGAAATTCGTCGGACCGTCGGACCAATCCGGTGAATTATGGATCGGTCTGGTAAAATTTTGTTGAATTCCAGTCCAAATGTCTGGTGGTTTTTTTTCATGGATTTTTCTAGCATTCTAGCAAAATTCCCAAACGATCTCAAAGTTCATTTTCATCTTTATTATTCATGACAGCGATGTTTATTTTGTTCAACCGCTAGCTTTATGCCGAAAATCGCCAACAAGTAATGTGTAAATCTGAGTAAAAACATATCTGACTGACAAAAACAACAATGACTGCCATCAACCGGAAATCTAGACAATAATGGATCAGATTCCGGGAACAGATAAGGCTAATTCCGGGTTTGCAGATCAAATACAATAAATAAATTAAAAAAAAAAAACCAAACAGGTCACAAAATACAGCTATGAAATATAAACACTAGAATTGAAAACCAAAAGATATATGAAAAAGAAAGGGGAAAGAGGAAATATTTCCTACAGAAACTCTAAATTATTTTTAGTTCACAAATATATTTCATGTCAAAATCCAATAAAGTGTGACATTACTTTTTTTTATCACTGAAATGCATTCAAGCAATTGTGCACAACTTTCATCACTTTTACACGTTTGTCACATGATTTTGTTTTTGTGCATTTTTGGAGAGGAGTAGGGCACAACAAGTCATAAGTTTTTTGTATTTTGTCAGATAATATACAATTAGATGTAAAAAAAAATTGGTCTGGTAAAATTTCAATCGGTCTGGTAAAGCTAGGTTGTTTACCAGACCGAATGTCCTGTTAAAATAAAATTCCTTTAGTGTCGTCTGACATCACTCCTTTTCTGAAAAATAACCACAAAGAGAGATAATTCTCTAAATCATCTTGTTTGTACTATAACTCAAGGAATATGTTTTTGATTGATCATATAAATCATTGAATTATAAAAAGCATAATGGACAGTAGCTTTTCTGTAGATAAACTCATCACAGATACCAGGATTAAAATTTTGTATGCCAGATGCGCGTTTCATTTTCAAAAGATTCATCAGTGATGCTCAAATCAAAAAAGTTAAAAAGGCCAAATAAAGTACGAAGTTGAAGAGCATTGAGGACCTTATAGAACATGTAAAATTTCAGTTAAAATAAATCAAAGGCATAGAAAGTAAATTCAATGATACAGAAGAAACAAGTATGGACAAATATACATGTAACTTAGAAATCCAGTATGTAAAAATAAGAAGAAAAGACACAGTGCATGACTAAAAATAGTTTTGAGAATGATTATATATAATATGTTCCTTTGATGACAATATTTTAGTTTTTCTATAGTATCATAAAATCTAGTTTCAAAAATCAATACAAAATCATAATTTGCTCATAATTTGCTTGGGTTTATTTCTGAGGAACAACTATGAATCAATGAGAATTGGCATATATTGTTAACTTTCTTTTGCTCAAATGTATTACTTTTACTACTAATAACGGTAGAATATATGTACTGTTAAAATCTACCTACCATCTCCTGCTGTGGCCAGCACTTCTCCTGTAACAGAACAAATTAATATTACCTAATAAGCATATTTATTAAGTAAATATCATTACATATTCATGATATTTGTGACAGACTTCAAAGCCAGTAAATGAAGATTTGTAAGTTACAGGCTTGGGATTTTAACAATATTATAAGAAGATTATAGAAATATAGTAAAACTCCTTTAGTTCAAATTTCAGGATAGACTCTTCAAAAAAAATTTGGAGAATAGTACCTCCAGATAGGTTTACAGAGATATGAACAGAAAAATTTTGGTCAACCCAAATCTTAACATTCTTCATAATTTGTATTCTAAAAATACCACATTACTTGGCATTTAAGTTATTATTCTTGTTTTATTTCATGTAGCTTATCAATACAATTACTATGTACATACTGTTGTTATATGATACATTTCTGTCAATCTCTTATCTCTAACAAAAGGATGAAAAAATTACTGAAATAGATGTAAAAGTCTTACCGTCAGGAGAAAATCTGCAGACATTGACAGATTTTGTGTGTCTTTTCAAGTTAGATATAAATTCAACTGTCCCTTTACCATCACCACCAACTTTTATTTCCCATATCTGTTGGAAAAAAAAATCCAATTGAGGATGCAACAAGTGAATCTGTGAGCTACTGCTCACTAATGATACCCCCGCCCCGCTACAAGTATAAGGTAAACAGGAAGTTGTTGAGTGATGAATCTGAAAACGCATCACACGGTATAGCTGACTCATATAAACCCTGAAACCAAATTTCAGAAATCCTTGTAATGTAGTTCCTGAGAAAGATGCCATGACAAAATATTCATGGGACGGACGGATGGATGGACAGACAGAGGTAAAACAGTTTACCCCCATTTTTTTAAAGCGGGGGTATAATTATATATAACCAAAATGTATGTGTTGTCTCGTTTAGCATACCCATACTCATACTTCAAAGTATTGGAAAACTGGGAGTAGGTGTCTGACAGATCCCAAAAGCACACACACATTACAATTTATTACTGTTGAGCAGCTTTGTAAAGTCATTTTGTTCTGTTGTATTGGTGAAATGAGTGACAAAAAAAATTTAAGTTCATTTAACATATTGAAAATTCAATGTATCGTGTGTATTGGCAAACAGGAAGAAGTTATCTGACAGATTCAAAAGTGCTCACATGCTACAACTCATCACTCAGTAAAATCAGGAAAAAAATTGACTGTTTTCCCAGTAACCAGTTCTGAATTATAGTCAGTACATGTATCTGGTATTTAGCGCATGTTTGGTAGAAATTATGTATCGCAATAATAAGAGCTTGCATTCTGATATCTGATACATATATTTCTATGCATAATTTCCTGAAATTGCAATAAATAATCTTGCATTTTTGTCCATTCTTTAAAAATAATGAATGCATGCCATGACTTCTTAATTAACCAAAGTACTGGTCTCATGTTTATGATTCAGTCATTTACTTTAATATACCTACACGTATAAACTTGTCTACACCAGTTGTAGCAATTCTTTTGACTTTTCTATTACCAGGTTGGAAATCTACACTATATATTGGATCTCTTTCATGCCAAGATATTTCTGGAGTTGTTACTTTCATCTGAAAAACAACATTATAACTTGTTTTATTTAATTAGCTATCAATCATTTGTCAATTATAGTGAATTTATACATGATAGATATAAAATGAGTTGCTATAACCCATTTAATTTAATATTCCAAACCTGTAAAAATTCTGATAAAATTCAATTATTGATAAAAAATACTGCGGATTCATTATTATTTGTTGGATACCAATTTTTATTAATTTCATCATGTTCATGGGTTCCGGTGAACCACAAATTTTCTGAAGGCTTGTTTGCAGACTTTTTAAAACCAAGCAATCAAATATCCACGAAAATACAATTTTTCCTTATGCCACGAAAAATAGGTGCCAAATTGCATAATATAAACATGACAAAAGATAATTCACTGCCGTACAGAGGCTTAGCAATATTGAAGAACTGAGTTTGAGATCTGATTTTCACAAACTAGTGACTTACTAGTCACAAGAATACATCAGAAAGTCTCACATGCCATAAAATTTACAGTACCAATTTTACTGCACCAGATGCACATTTCAATAATTAATGTCTTTTCAGTGATGCTCAAGGCCAAAATATTTGAAAATCCAAAATCATACAAACGTTGAAGAGCAGATAAAACCATAACATGAATAAAGGAACTAATGTTTAGCTGAAACCAGACAACTCTAATTTATCTACTTGCTGCCATCATTCACCATTTAGAAGTGCAATACACAAATTTGACTCCTTGTTCTGATCGTAAAAATAGTCCTAGTAATGTGGTTCATGATTTTGTGAAAATCTACACAAACATTTTGTTGGTTCCAGATTTATTAACTTTCCAAATCAATAGGGAAACAATTGTAATCAACAACAATTAGCCAATCAAAATTGGTCATTCAAGTTATCATGCTTTAATCTCCTGATTATTAGAGGTCTGGCAAACATACAAGATTTGAAGTTTGTTTGATACTTTAGAGTTGATTTGTCTGCCTGCTTGTCAGATTTATAAAAGGTATGATCATGGTAGACAAATTATCACTTGAAAGAAGTTTTTGCCAGGCCTAAGCAGAAAAGCATATATTTAAATTCTACGGCCGTTTGACAAACTCAATGATAGCCATATCACGTCTTTTGCCAATCTTTATTAAAGAATGCAAAGTTGACCATTGTGGTCTGAATGACATTTGAAAGAATGCAAGGTCTGTTCAACTTCATCAGATGTCATTCAGAGATTAGAACATTACCAAAGTTTGTCAGTAACTTCTTTGTAAGACCAGATAATGAGCAACACAAAATGGTAAAAAAAGCATGTACAGTTAATTTCTTTCTTTCTTTCTACAGGTATGAATCGCCGTTCTAGATCGGGGCACTCCTACATAGTAGGATGGCTAATGGGCTATATACAAATATACACCCGCACCCACTAAAAACTCATATTACACACAAAGGAATGTGCCACTAATCCACCAATTCCTGCATATATATATATAACGGCAGGGCTCACACCACTTCAGAATCATAGGGAGAAGTGACTTCTCTTTTTGAAACTGATAGGGAGAAGTGGTGAGATTTGAAAGAGAAGTGCTCCTTCACGTGCTGCGCTACAATGTTTGGTTTTTACTACCTATCGTACAAAGGGTCATATGTAAATTATGTTTTTTTATATTGTTCAATTCATATCTGAGTATACAATTAAAGTAACAGTTCAAATTCAAAGTTGTTTAAGTTTAGGTTCTTGTGAGAAACTACCAACTAAATAATCTAGCACTAAAAAAATATTTTTTTTTATGTCAAAAAGGTAAAGAAATTATAATATATCAATTACAATTCAATTAAAACACAATCTTGTTTATCATGTTTATGAAATTCAGTGTTTCTCATCAAAAGATATACAAAGTTAAGCTGGACCATAATATATTGATATAATAGTATTATAGTCACAGAGTTATGCAACTTTAATCAATATTTTGAAACAATCCATATGTATGGAATTATATACATTAATCAAGCAGATCTAACCAAAAGTCTGTTAGTGCGTGTGGAATGCGTAATTTTTCCTTTTGGGATCAATATTCTTCTGTCAGCTGTTCCATTTATGCGTCCATAGTTATTATTGTAAAAATACGGATTTCAGTCATAGCTGGTCCGTTTCCGATCCGTAGATAGTAAACAGTTAATGGCGGACGAAGAAAATTTACAAAAATAAACGATGTTTGACAAGCTATTTGGAAAGGAATATGACGTTTTTAATGCAATAAATGGATTAAACATTTACTGAAGGCAACTTTTATCACGTTCAAATGAAGTAACAAACTTATTTTGCCGCCGAAAGTTAAATTGTTGTACGCTCTCGTCTGTCTGGAGTAACAAGTACTGGAAGTGCATGAAGTGATAAAAAGTTGTCTTTTTATTAAATAACCTGCTACACACCGTAAAGTCAATGCTTAAACCTCTTTTCTTCAGAAAATGAATCATTTATGTCTGAATTTCTTTAATTATCAATAAAAGATTGATGTTTCATCGACTTGGGAAAAATTGAAAATGTCCGATGACGAAAGTGACTGAAAGCGAGTATGGTGAACAACAGGGCGACTAGATTTCCCTTTTGACGGTCGGGCAAAGCGAAGTGACGGAGGGGAAAGTGACTTTATCGCCCCAGTCGCCTGCTAGAGTGAGCCCTGTAACGGTAACGGTAAAAGCGTGCTGCACAAATACTGTGTTGTTATTTACATATTATATACATTGTACATTACAGTGAAGTTACGATTAAGATGGATGTGATCATCTTCACTGCTCCATGCTTAAAATACTAGTTGCTAATTTATGCTAGGTGTGCGAATATATACATTAGCTTTATAGCAGTCTATAGGTAAGCACTAAATGTTAATGTCTTATATTTTGGACATACTGTTAATATTTGATATATGCGTTCATCTGCAGAATATGTAGATATATTTAAAATTTAGGTACACTAAAGCACTATGCGGTTAATATGCAGGAAAAGAGAAAAAGCACTATGCTGTAAAATGGCCAAATAAACGATACATGTAGGTAAATAGCCATACGGATGGTTGTTATTTTTTAATAAATAATATGCTTCTACATAAACTGTCATTACACCCTCGCCCCTACCCTGCCATCTGCCTCATTCTACTGGTATGCATGTCGTAGCAGAACAGTCGTGTGAGGTTTTCTAGATCTATGTATTGTTGATGTTTCATATGGAATCTATAGTTAATGCTTTTGTGAGTACATGTACAGTCCATCAGAATTTGTACAAGCATGTTACAGTTAACTAAGTTCTGATAGCAGTCAGGGGTGCTACTTAAACAAGTGATTTCATCATCACTTATTTCAGTGATTTGATAAATTCAGTTATCACCTATTTAAGTGATTTTAGTGTTTTCTTTGATCTTCAAATGCTAATTTCATTGATTTTCCATATTTTCACAATCTTTTCTATAATTTTCCTACATAAATCAATTATCCCTTTTTTTTTTGTATATTAATTTCACCAGTGCGCTTGGGTAGTAAGTTAGTGCGCTAAAGCTTTTAAAAGTACCCTTGGGAATTTTTCTGTAATCAAAAATTCATTAACTACTCTTACTATCAGACAAAGATCAACAATATTAGGTAACCTGATTGGTTTTCTTTAGAGTTAGAATGATCTACTTCAAGGTTATGACCTGATCTACAAACTATTCCAGTTTTTGCATATTTTAAAAAAACTGTAAAAGTGTCAGGCTTATCAAGCAAGACAATTTCTGCATATACATAGATGTTTTTTCAATGGAATTGTTGTCTTTTTACCAACAAAAATATCAAGCTCGTGGGAAAAATATCAAGAAAATGTTACAAACACTTATTAAAGTGATTACATTTTAACTTCTAAAATTACTTGTTTCAGTGATTTTAAAAAGTCTGTGTGAAAATTTTTAATATTTCACAGCCAAAATCACTCGAGGGAGTGATTCTGAAATCACTTGTTTAAGTAGTACCCCTGACTGGATAGAGACCATTTTTTAAGTTGTCCCGGTATAATTTTATTTTCTGGAGGTTAATACAAAAAGAACTGTTCATAAGGCATTTTGCTAAAATATGAATCAAGTTTAATACATGTACAAGCCAATGAAGTGATATTTTGACACAATTTTAGCTGCAGTGCTAAGTACTACATGTACTATATATGCAGTAAACAGACAAATTTGCAGGAAAATGTATGTTCCTTATCAGTGTAATCAGATACAAATTTGTGGGAAATTGCATGACATTTCTGGATCATTTGATGACCCTTCAAGAAAAATCCCAAATAAAGGAAAACCAACAAGAAGTTAAAACACCGTGTTGTTGAAGCATTTTCTACATCATAGCCATTTATGGTATAGACCCAAATTGACCATTTTAACATAAATGCTGCTTTAGAAAGCATATTAAATTTTCAGCAATTATTATTGATATTAACATAATTTTTAGTTGACTTGTTGAGATTTACATTACATGTAACTTACTGTATAATATTAGATCTTTCAATATTTTTATTGCCTTTCTAGAGTTTAGACATTTTTTCTTAATGATTAAGGTAATTTTTAGTGTTCTTTGTATTAAAAAGTTTGCTTTGGTCTCTGTAAAGGCACCTTCTTGTGTTTTTATTTACTTCTTTGTGGTACACAGCTTTATAAATTTGGCGGTAGTTTAGTCTTAATCAGTTTAGTGCTTAATATCCGTTTCCAATAAAAAAAATCAACTGGATCACAAAATTAGATTATAATGGCTAAGTGTTCATTTCAAAAAGTACAAGTTGTTAAATTTCGCTGGTTAGAGGTAAGAGATTGTTAAAATCATGAAAATATTAACGTTATATTGCTGTAATAAATTCCGGAATGACGTGTCCGTACTTGAACCAAGCTTTAGAAATCAAGCATAATTTTGACGTTGATGAAAGCGGAAATTTTGAAAGACTAATTGTAGTCTACAAAGTTTTTCAGGCTACCAAATTAGTGTTAGTAAACTTTGAAAAACTGCTTCTGTCCCTTAATTCTAAATTTATTTTATAGTTTTTTTTAAAGAAAACTTGCACTAATCGACTTTTTACACAGAATTTATAATAACACTGACGAAATAATTACTGTGTTTACATCACAAAATGTGTTGTGTGCTGACAAACCTGTGCAACTGGAAAGGTTTAAGACCTGACAGCACCTTGATATATGTCACAGTGGGACTGAACATACACCAGATATACATTTATGGCAAATAATATGAGGCAGGCGTTACCTGTGAAAGGGGACGAAGTCTGTATGAATTATTTTTTTTTAATTCAAATATATTTTAACTTCAAAATCTGTTCAAAAAAGAAACGGAAATACCCTTAAGTTTCCGATTTCGGTTCTGTTGTTCGGAATTTTAGTTGTGATGTATTTATGTTATGACGTCATATTCAATGTAAACAAAGAAACGCTATCAGGTAATGTTTTTTCATATCAAGCCATTCAAGGAATTATTAAAAATGGAATTGGTATTGCGTTCCTTCCTATATTTTACTAGACTGATAAATATATATTTTACTCAAAGACTCATGCAAACGAGACCGGAAAAAGGAAGTAGATTTCTGCGCAAATGCGGGAAAATAAAAAAGTTAACGATTTTGAGTTCATTAGTAGAATGAAAATTTCGGGAAATTTTCCCGTTTTTTTTTTTTATTTTTTTTTTTATTGATTTTTCTACCGTAATAGGGGACTTTGTCCCCTTATCAGAAAGTGAAGTGACTTGGTACCACTTTTATTAACTGTAAATACATATTTATTTCTAATTTTGGAAAACAAATAACTCAAAATTATATAATACCTCAGGCTAAATAGGACCAAGAACTGACGGACTAATAAATGTTTGTTCAAGTAATGCCCCTTATTGCATATACATATAGACCAATTAACCAATATATCTCATACATAATTCAGCAGAAAATTGTGTCATACATATAGACACTTTTTCCTCTAAAAATACCAGGAAAAGAAAATGGTATATACAGTAGTGTTGGTGAATGACAATAAGATGAGAAAAAAAAATGATGGAAAATTGAAAATTTACACTTTTGAAATTTAAGTTACATCATGTACATGTAAATCATAAAATAATAGAAATGTTGCAATTAGTAGAAAAAAAATAATTTTGGTCATATTTTCCTAGAGGATATAATTTACACCATCTAGTCCTCGGCTTTACCTCAACTAGTAGAAATATACCAGTACTATCAATGAAATCAGAAATGAACATAATACTATCTATACTGACCATTTATTATAATGATGATTCTTTTGTTTTCATACATGTAGGTTACATCAAAATGAAAAGTAATGGATTCAGTTGACAGTGTGCTGGAGTGCTACCATGGCAACAGGACAGATTCAGACATCAAGAAGAAGATTGGGCAGAATTCCTGTTACTACAGCAGCTCAAAGGAAAAACATGTAAAAAACACAACACATTTATGCACTGTCTAGCCTACAAATCCAAGATATTAGAAATCATACATTTATTTGGCGTCTGTCATGTGAATATGAAGAAATATGCAAAACTGTGGCGTTGATTTGTTTTAAATGTTTTACCATAAGAAAACAACTGATATTGTTAACTCCATATTATCATAAGCATTATCATTATTGTTTCTTTACATATATCTATTTGTAATCATTATATATATGTAAAATGCCCATTATGGGCTGATGATTGGTTTAACGAAGTATTCTTACACTGCTGTACAAAGTCTACTGGAATCTGTTGTAATGGACTGTTAGATATTTTTCGTGTGCAGTTGCATATGGTATAATGTTTTTGACCTGTCTGTTGTCCATCCAGTCTTTCAGTCCGTCAATCCTGTTCTTGCCATTGCAACTCGTCTGAAACCACACAACAGAATTTCATGAAACTTTGTTAGATAATAAGGACATGCTATGTAGAAGTGCTTTTCAACAGGAAATTATGATTCAATGTTTTTTGTAGGAGTTATGCCCCTTTGAACTTTGAATTTTGTTCTTAAATATATACTACTGCAACAGTTTGTCATCACAACTCCTCTGAAACCACATAACTGATTTTCATGAATCTTTGTAGATAATTAGGACATACTATGTAGATGTGCACATCTACAATATTTTTTTCATTTGACCTTTGTAAGAATTATGAGAATTTAGTGAGATTTTGCTTCCCCAATTAAAATGTGGGGGCATGGGGTATGTGAGCATGCTCACAAAGGTTCTTTAATTGCTTCAGCACTGGCATACTTGAAGAGTTATGCATTGTTGTATGCACTATTATGCTCCAGAATTCAAATGGGCAGGTGGTACATATCATACTATTACTATTAGCAAGAAATAATAAAAAATGTCATAAATTTGCTTGTTTTAGAGCTTGACATATATTGTTTTATTTTTTTTCTTATTTTTATATTTTCCAATTTTAAATAAAACAATCACAAAATGTGGAAAATAGTTGTATGTTTATTATTATCATGTAATTGTATATTTTTAGAGGTTTGAATCCAAATTCCACAGTAAAAAACATAGATGGAAATCAAAATCAGGTAAGGAAAAACCATCCAATACTAGCACACAAGTTTGACACAACAGAATTACAACATGGTTTTGAAATTTCTATTTACCTGCTAAAAGCAGTTTAAGACTGTTAAAGTCCTTGTTCATTGCCAGAACTTAAAAAATATCAAAAGCCAAGTTGACTTGAAAGTCTTTCAAGTTGGCAGTTGTAACAATTATCATCATGATATTGTACAAAACAGCCAGGCAAAACATATGTGTTTGCAAGAAACAAGCATTTTTGCGCCTGTCCAAAGTCAGGAGCCTCTGGGCTTTGTTAGTCTTGTATGTTTTTTAATTTTAGTTCATTTATATGTTTTGGAGTTTAGTGTGACATCCATTTTCATTGAACTAGTACACATTTTTGTTTAGGGACCAGCTGAAGCCCGCCTTTGGGTGCGGGATTTTTCTCGCTGTGTTGAAGACCCATTGGTGGCCTTGGGCTGTTTTCTGCTCTTTGGTCGGGTTGTTGTCTTTTTGACACATTCCACATTTCCATTCTCAATTTTATTTTACATTTAATTTGCATCTTAAGAACGATAATTGGGAAAGCATACTGTCACCACTTTGTTTATCCTTTTGAAAACAAATGGTTGCTTGACATAAACATAACAATAAGGAGATGTGGTATGACTACCAATGAGACAACTTTCCTCCTGATACTAAATAAAGGATCATAATTTTTTATCTGATATCTATCTCATGTAGCTATCCTTTCAAAATTTTATTATACCACACCTTGTAGCATGGAAAGAATCAAATTAAGATACCCGGTAGTAACTCATTATTCAATATACAATTATCATGTTTTGAACTTTCTTCGTCTGTTAATATTTTTATATATCAACTGATTGACCCAAAATTATAAATTTTATGTTAGTATCAATTGGAAGATAGTCGGATAATACTTATTTCTGAATTTGATGTTTCCCTCATAGTTCAGAATCCTAATTATTAACCCTATATATAATATTATTTATATTCTTTTCTACAGGACCAGGTTAACAACATGAAGTCAAATCAAAACAAAGACATGTTGGCATCTTTCTCTTCTTCATTTTGTACTGATTTGGATGTTGAAATGTTAGACGTAATGGATAAGATGGAGGAAAACTTCATTGTGAAAAAGACCAATACTCCAAAATCAAGAAGATGTCAACTTCAGATCCAGACAACCAAGTCACCTGCAAATCCAACAAATAAGGCATCTGCTTTTGTAACCAAAAATTCAGCTATTCATTCGACAACAAAGTCACCCACAACAAGTAGCTCAGGAACTAAATTTATCAATAATGCTTCAGAAAAGACAACTGTTAATTCTGGAGCTAATTCTGCCAAAAATTTAGCAGATAATTTGAAACCACAATCAGCTGCTGCTGATTCAACTAGATTTCTTAGAAGCAAACCTTTAACTGGTGCAAAAATTATTCCAGTAATGAAGAGCCACCCTACAACACCAAGTGGAACCAGTACATCAATTACAAATAATGACATCTTTAAGTCACCAGGAGATTATAATCCAACGGACGGAAAAATTTGGAATCAAAGTACTAAAAAATCTGTTCATCATCTTAGAAATGATGATAATATTTCATGGCAGACACCAAAGATTGCTTCAACTCCTCAAACTACACCTAATTCTCGCAAAGGAAAACTGATAGCATCAAATGTAAAGAGGCAAAATCATCTGCTAAAATCGTTATTTACACTTGAAACTTCTATGAATATATCTGATATAATTTTATCTCCTTGTCTAGAAAGTGCAAAAAAGTCAGAAGTACAACAAAATAAATTGTTGAAACAAAACCCTTCTGTTAAAGAAAATGATAAGGAAAATGCTGTCAGTAAGTGTAAGACATCTTTATTGGAAATGGTGAATAATTCACATCAAGAAGTTGCAAACATTGATGGAGATGTTGACAGGCAACAACTGCCAAAAGATCAACTTCATAAAAATAATCAAAAAGATAGGATTGAAAAAAATATGAGAAGAAAATCAGATTTACATGGTAAGAATACTAGGGGGTCTGTTCTATTTCAAAATTAGCTTGTATAAATACTTTAATAGATTGGTGATTTTGATTTGCATGTCTTTAGATATAAGAAGATGTGGTATGAGTGCCAATGAGACAACTCTCCATCCAAGTCACAATTTATAAAAATAAACCATTATAGGTCAAACTACGGTCTTCAACACAGAGCCTTGGCTCACACCACACAGCAAGCTATAAAGGGCCCCAAAAATTACTAGTGTAAAACCATTCAGACGGGAAAACCAACGGTCTAAATAGTATCAACAGGTCAAATTAACAAGAAAGTACAATTTGAGAGTTACTCATTTATGTTTGTTTTTAAGATGTTTTTATTTCTTAGGATATTTGTTATCGTATATGATTTCTAAAGCATTCCTTGTGATAAGGGTCTTGTAAAAAGACCCCACCCCATTGGGAAAAATTGCAACATCACACAGAATATCTGAAATTATTAACTTACCTTACTAATTTTGATTTTGATATGATTTTGGCATAGTTACCAGTATGGTTGATAGGACTAATCCAAACTACTTAACTAAACCCTTGTCATGTTCATCAAGCAATAATTCAATGATCTCCCCACAAATTTTATAAAGGATCTTGATTTACCAGGAATTTTAAAATACTATTTTGTTTCAAGAAATTATAGCATGCATCCATATAATAAATGTATAAGAAAATTATTTCAGATAGCACCATGTTACAATGATGCTGAATGTCCATGGGAAGAACACTGAAAGTTCTAGAATTGCATATTAAATGTATCTACTTTGTTTTTATTTAGAAAAATCTTCTATGCTGAATATCAGTGGAGATAAACTTAGCCTTAGCAACTGGGGCCTTCCTGAACCAGTTATAAACCAGTATCACAGTAAAGGGATCACAGCAATGTTTGAATGGCAAGCAGAATGCCTCTGTAAAGGAAATACTCTGGGTAACAATAGTTTTGATTTATTTATTTTAATTATCAAACAGCATAACGACGAAAATGGAAATTCAAATGATTTCAATTGTCAAAATTCATCTTGTTCTTTGATATAAATAAGAAGATGTGGTATGAGAGCCAATGAAACAACTCTCCATCCAAGTCACAATGTGTAAAAAGTAAACAATTGTAGGTCAAAGTACGGCCTTCAACACAGAGCCTGGGACTTGTGCAAACAAATGCAGCGGGTTTAAAAGTTTTAACAGGTGCCAAACTGGTCTTATGAGTGTCCATAAGTGTGAAATTAAGACTGATGAAAAAATTAAACGTATATATTTCTCTTAATATATTAATGGAACAGTCCCATTGTAACATATAATGCAACAATTTTCATATTTATTTGGATTTTCACATTTACTGAAAGAGTATAAAATAATGGAGATGCCAACACATGGGTGCTTCAGTGTATATCAATGTATATCTTTTCCTGAATGACATATATATTTATATAGAACAGCCCATGTATATATTTTGTTAAAATGTGCTGATTTCCATTAAAGCTGGTGGTAATCTAGTATACTCAGCCCCAACCAGTGCTGGCAAGACCATGGTTGCAGAACTATTGGTACTGAAGAGAGTTATGGAAACTAAAAAGAAAGCTATATTTATATTACCCTTTGTATCAGTTGCCAGAGAAAAAATGTTTTATTTACAGGTAAGGCTTCTAAAAAATCTTGATAAAGAAAATAAGGTACATGTATGTAAAATATGCTGAAATGAGGGAGTAAAAAGCAGCAATCAGATAAAAAAGCAAGAAAGGGACTATCTTTCCCCTGAAATTGCAAAAATAGTTAGATTCTTCATTTATTTCAAAATAATGTTACTTTTATTGATAATTGAATAGGGTTATATAATCTGGACATTTTAGTAAAAAAAATCATGACAGTTGACATAGACCATTTTAGCACATAGATTTAGCCAAAACAAAATATGAGCCTAGGTCTTAACCAAAAAGATGTTTTAGCCACATCAACATTTTTTGTCTCGCCTTGACAGAGTCAAAAAGCGAGACATAGGTATGCTGTTTCCGGTTTGGGCGGCGGCGGCAACAACAATGTATTAGTTTGTGATTAGGTCTAGTTAATGATGAATCACTTGTTGTAGGTCAATTATATTTGGTATGCAGTTGAATTAGCATTGGCACATCTCATTACCATTATCTGGCCACGCCCCACTCAGTCATGGTCTATTGACTTTAAAACTTTGCTTAGTTTACATGTATTAGTTAGTGATTAGGTCAGTTTATGGGGAACCACTAGTGGTAGGTCAATGATATTTGGTATGCAGTTCTATAAGCATTGGCATGTCTCATTTCCATTGAGAATATTTGGTCCTTACCCCTCAGTCATGGTCTATTGAATTTGAAACTTTTGCTTAGTTGACATGTATTAGTTTGTGATTAGGTCAGTTTAAGATGAACCACTAATGTTAAGTCAGTGATATTTGGTATGCAAATGTATTGGCATTTGCAAGTTTCATTTCCATGGAGATTATATAACCCCACCCCCTCATTATGGTTCATTGACTTTGAAACTTTTACATAGTTTACAAGTTAATGTTTGTGTTAAGGTTTGTATAAAGGGAACGACTTATGAAAAGTTAATGGTATTTGGTATGCAATTGTATTAGCATTGGCACATCTCATTTCCATGGAGATTGTTTAGCCATGTACCTTCCGTCATGGTTCATTGACTTTGAATATTTGCATAACTTACATGTTAAAGTATTGCTATTTTAATTTTAACATTTGCATTATCAAAATAACAAATAGGCAGACATATCTCTGTGACAGTTTATGTGAAAGAGATATTGTAGGCATTTTATATTTTGAAATAATTCTTATATGAATTGCATATTAGGGAATACGATGATATGATTGGTCGAGACGACTTCCGCTAGTTGATCTTGACGTTGTTTATTTTTCGATATGCGACGGTGACCGAACTTCTTTTCGTAACCAATGTTAACAAGATGGCGGCGATAAAAACACCGACGTTAACAAAATTTATTTTCACTGCACGTTGATCGCGTTAAATTAAATAATCAACACAAAAACATTCATTTGAATGATAATAAGAGTTTTTGTAGTTTATTTTTTTAACAGATTGCAAATTTCATTGAGTACATATTTTTGCAATAACCAAAAACAAATAAATTCATGCCCCAGGCCTATTCAATGACACAAATATACAATTTACGTGTGATAGAGGTTACTAGTGTGGAAAAATATATTCCTTATCTCCAATCTTAAAGAATTATAAGGATTAAAAGCCTTTTTAAAGGAATTTATTGGTGTATAAACTGGACCAAGTCACTCACAAAACATATAATAAAAGTCCTTCGGACTTTTATTTGTTTGTGAGTGAATTGGTCGAGTTTATACACCAATAAATTCCTTTAAAAAGGCGTTCAATCCTATAAGGTAAAAAAACCCTGCGAATGGGAAATGTTTAAAATAGTTATCTGCATAAAGAAAACAAAATGACCATTGACACCACATTGATCTCTTTCTTTATGGACATTTTTGATATCATAAAGGCATTCTCAAGGATTTATTTCATTTTTGTCGAGCCTTCGACTTTTGTCGAAAAAGCGAGACATAGCGATCCTACATTCCGTCGGCGTCGTCGTCGTCGGCGGCGTCCACAAATATTCACTCTGTGGTTAAAGTTTTTGAAATTTTAATAACTTTCTTAAACTATCCTGGATTTCTACCAAACTTGGACAGAAGCTTGTTTATGATCATAAGATAATATTCAAAAGTAAATTTTGTAAAAAAAAAATTCCATTTTTTCCGTATTTTACTTATAAATGGACTTAGTTTTTCTGCCAGGAAACATTACATTCACTCTGTGGTTAAAGTTTTTGAAATTTTAATAACTTTCTTAAACTATCCTGGATTTCTACCAAACTTAGAAAGAAGCTTGTTTATGATCATAAGATAGTATCCAGAAGTAAATTTTGTAAAAAAAAATTCCATTTTTTCCGTATTTTACTTATAAATGGACTTAGTTTTTCTGCCAGTTAACATTACATTCACTCTGTGGTTAAAGTTTTTAAAATTTGAACAACTTTCTTAAACTTTCCTGGATTTGTACCAAACTTAGACAGAAGCTTGTTTATGATTAAAAGCTAGTATCTAGAAGGAAATTTTGTTCCATTTTTTCCGTATTTTACTTATAAATGGACTTAGTTTTTCTTCCAGTTAACATTACATACAGTCTGCAGTTTAAGTTTTTAAAACATTTATTAGATTCATAAACTATCCTGGATTTTTACCAAACTTGGACAGAAGCTACTTACAATCAAAAGATAGTATAGAGAGGAATATTTTTATTAATTTTTTTCCTCATTTTTGCTGAGCCTGTGATTAACAGCAAAAAGTAGGCGAGACACTGGGTTCCGCGGAACCCTTACGAATTTTTGTTTCAATTTTTTCCTTTGGTAATCTGAATCAAAGAGCATAACAACCATAGTAGCAAAAATCATTCAGTTTACCTAGTTGCAGTCTGAGTAAAGTTGCTCTATCCAAAAATATAATAATAAAATTGTAGAATGGAAAATCACACACTTTCAAAATGTCTTTTCCTCAACATATGTTTTCAAAACTTAAAAACACTCTTAGTACATGATATATCATGTAACATGAAGACTGCATCTTTTTTCTAAGATATGAAAACTCTCAAAATTTTCTGTTGGAATGCCCACACATTGAAGCAAAATATCTCTTTGGGTAAGGCATTGGCTCATGTCTTAATATGAGGTCTCAAAATGAAGCTATGTAAACATTATTTGCAATTACAGTCTGTTTGTATTATCAACAGCAACTTTACCAAGATGCTGGAATCCGAGTGAGTGGTTTTATGGGAAGTCATTCCCCTCCTGGAGGCCTCAAATCTGTTGATGTAGCAGTTTGTACAATAGAGAAAGGAAATGGTCTAATTAATAGGTTACTGGAACATAAAGAATTAGATAAGCTGGGTATGTGCAGTACCTTTATGTTAATAAACAATGTTACATTATTATTATTTTATCACAAACTCCCAACAACCCATAGAAATTATGAACACTCAGTCACTGTTTATAAATAATGAAATACTTCAGGACTGTTATGCAGAATTACCTTATGGCCCTTGAAGAAAACCTTTAGCTTATATTTTCAGATAGAGTTAAGCAAGAATATAGCCAAAGGTGCTGAAGTGGCTTTAAACACCAACTACCAATAAACTAATTTTATCATTCTGACAGGAGATTTAACCAGTGAGATTAGTTAATTAAGCAATAAATATAGAATGCATATTGAAGTCCCTTAATGGCATTTAAGAAGAGAGTTCCCATATATATGAATGCACTTGTACAAATGAGATTACTCCATAAAGCAAGCTCAATTTAATGTATCAAGCAACCAGAATGGAATGAGTTTTCAAAAATAAAGTATCAAGCACAAATAATGAACAACAGAGTCCTTACTTCAGGGTCACCATTTCAAGAATTGTGTAAAACTTCAAACATTTCCCTAATTCAAATGATCAAAAATCACAAAGGATAACTCACTCCACAATAACTGATCTCTACAATTAAAAAGACACTGAAAATGTTCTGTGATAGGGTTTAAATCTAAGCAACTACAGGTTAGAGAAGAATATTTTGTCAACTGACTTGTTTTTATAAAGTAAATGAAGTTCCATTAAAAACAATATTTCATTGGCCTGCATTTGGTGTATGAGTGACTTTGATTTTGCATTTAGTTTCATATTATAGCAACTTAAAGTCGTAGAGGCATGATAATACATTTTTACTCAGGTGTCAGATGTTGGATAGTAATAAAGTTCACTAGCAAATATTTGTTTTGATAAAAAACAAACTGTAACAAACAAAATTTTATTCTGCTTTAAAATCGCAATACATGTAAATCCTGCTATACCAATGGCAGTGCAGCTAGTGCTACTGACTTTCAATTATATTTATTTTATTCCAGGAATTATAGTTGTAGATGAGTTACATTTGGTAGGAGATTCCCACAGAGGCTATCTGTTGGAACTTATGCTGACTAAGATTTGCTATGTAATGAGAAAGGAAAAGGAACAGATGAACAAAGGCAACCAGTAAGATTTCAAAGACCCAGTTGTTGCTATTTTAAGCTGTGGTATTTTGTGATTTGTGCAATTTATGCAATACAGATAAAAACCTCATAAATCTCTCTGTGCTTTTGTGTGTATAGTTATATTATGAAATCGTATTCATCTTTAATTGATGATCCAAAGTTACAGAAATAGCTTGTGAAAATTGAGTAGGAAAATCCAACAAAGGGAGATAATTCATAATTTTGCACATCATTGATTGCTATAATTAAGGAATCATGTCGTGAAAATTGCTGCAGAGTTGTAAATATCTGTTTAATTTCTAATTTCTAAAATCTGTATTTGCTGGGATTTACAGCAAGCAAACAATTTTTGTAATACATCAGATTTTCATTTAAAATGATATTGAAGAATAAGAAAAAATGCTACAACATCTAATATTTGGATACAAAATCACCGACAAGAAGTGTTACTCAATAAATTTTTTTTAATTACAATACTTAGTTTTTCTTTACATAAGTCAGATTATGAATCTGAGCAGAAAACAAAAAATATAGATGACGTTTACAGAATTTTTGTGAATGAATATAATAATAGAGTAGACACCAATAGTAATGGACATAAGATAACAAGTCCAATGTTACTAACAATTAAAAGGAACATAAGCAATGAATAATTTTTTTTTAGTACCGTTAAAAGGTTTGTATAGTTCGCGGTTTTATTCTCCAAAATTGACCCTGACAGCAGGGGTGCGGACTATAGAGTACAATAAGCAAGAAATAAGAGAGAAAATTTCAATTTCGCGATGTGGTTTGTTTACGTTCCGCCATGTTTGTTATTGACATTGTAGAGGGCGCTCTTATCATTTTTCAAACCAATAATTTTACCCAATCCATATTAATAAGTTATTTTTATTCAATATCAAATTAATCCTGATAAATTTAAAAATTAAATGCTTCATTACAAAATTCTCTTTTCTTTTCAATGCATTGCTAAATATAAACTGGTATCTGCTTGAATGAAATCGTATAAAAAAAGTTAAAAAAGACAACCGTAAACCAGCTTATGATGTGTAAACTACAAAACGTAATTGGTTATTATTCGTTCCGTTTTGGTGTTTCCTATTGACAAATATGTTTTGTATTAGCTTAAGACCCTTCAAACATTAATGTGATAGATATATTAAACACTGTTTTACATAAGGAGGGAACTGTTTTACATTCAAAGTCGTATTATAGTGATATCTATTATGTACGGATTTCGACTCTCACTGGGTTTTTTCATCTTTTACACGTGCCTTTCAAACTTCCGGTTTAAACATACACAAGTTTCTGAATTGTTTTTTGTGTGATTTAGACTTATTTTAACCAGCGTGAAGTGTTTTAGAACCATTTAAAAGCAGTTTCAGCTTCTGTTTGGTGATGGAAAATAGGTTTTTACAAGAAAATATCACAAACGACCACACACGATTTAAAATTACCGGAGTTTCATTAACCTTTTCTAACAGTTACAAAAAGTTTTTTTACCTGATATTTTGTGGGGAGAAGGGGGTGCGGACTATGTACCAGTGCGAACTATACAAGCCCAATTACGGTAGTGTTATTTTAGTGTTTTCTAAACAAAAATGTATACATGTATGTCAATAAGTCTAATCAACTGATTATTCCCTGGGTAGTCAGTGGAGTGTAACAGTGTACATCAAGTGAAGCTTGAAATCTTGATGGTTTTTATATCAAGCAAGATTTGATGAATAAAATATAATGTTATATAAAAAAAAATGATAAGAAAAAATGCTTTGCAACATTTTATTACCAAGGTATGGTCAGTCATCTGGTAAGATTGCTCTCATTTGTTCTCTTTTATTTTATTTTATAAATAAAAATTCAATACAAACTCATAAACTTGAATACAAAATTGTATATCTGATAGAAGCTTCACAGTCATGATAAAAACAATTTTTTTTCAGATCTACAGAAGTTATCAATGGTGTGCAGATTGTAGGAATGAGTGCCACACTACCAAATCTAGATCTCTTGGCCAAATGGCTGAAGGCTGAATTGTATCATACAGATTATAGACCTGTGCCGTTAACAGAATGTGTGAAGATTGGTACAGCTCTGTATGATAGTTCCCTAGTGAAAATTAGGGATGTTGATTTGACCATGACCTTTAAAGATGACTCTGATCATGTGATACCTCTGTGCTTAGAAACATTGAAGGGAGGTCATTCAGTTTTGATATTTTGTCCAACCAAGAACTGGTGTGAAAAGCTGTCAGAGTCCATAGCCAAAGAGTTTTACATGATTTTAAGGAATTCAAAACCTCAAAATGGTGTGTTGTTTTTAGCACTTTAATATGCTGTTGTTTACAAGGTGATAAGCTAACTGGTACACAAAAAATAATAAAAGATTTCTTTTAAATTTTTTTGAATCCAAATATTTGATCTTTACAAATACCTTTTTGTAGCAGAAGGGAGAAAACTTTCCAGTTAAATAGGCCTATGAAGCTGCAACTTTTGAAACTATGCTAAATACTTAACAATTGTGTCATAAAGATTATATCAAATCAACAATAGGCTAAGCTTTTCTTCTTAATTGATGAAGGTTTGACACAGAGTTCTATTTACACATATGTTCAATTGTTTTCTTTTATAAGGTGAGAAGGAAGAACTACCTTTACCACTGAATGGTAACAGTTTAATGGATGTTGTAGAACAGTTGAAGAGGACACCAGTAGGTCTGGATACTACACTTGGCAGAACAGTACCATTTGGTGTGGCCTACCATCATGCAGGTTTACAATCTAAATTTATATACTGTATTCATTATTCTTATTCTTGTATACTTTTTATTTTTATTTCTAAAGTCATTACAAATAAGACATGTTTAACCCAACCACAAACTGTATACCCCTGTCTTAAACCTAAGCCTGTAATTCAGTGTTGCTATTTGGTTGCTGTCTGCTATATTTGATTTTCTACAGGCAGTTGGTTTTCTCATTTGAATTTTTTTATGCTTTATTATGCCTGGAACTATTACAGCTTACTACAGTATATTGAGTTATTTGCATAGCCTATTTGTAAGAGGAAATCATGCAATTAAGGGAAGCATGCTAATATCCTAATTGCAAAATAACAGGGTCAAATAAGATCGATAGTAAAGGAAATCCCAGATGAAAGATGAAGATCTGTGATCCACATTACATTATTGAATTATGTTTTTATTAAAATTCTTTTCATAAAAGATTATAAAAATTATGTTCAGTCTGTTGTGCACTGATACTTTTTTCACCTAAGAAATAAAAATAGAACCAGTTGTTACTGATCTATAAATATATTTGTTTTCAGTGACCAGCTGTATGTAAAATGAAACATCATACTGCTTTGGTTAAGAGATCTTTCAACAAGAGATTATTAGCTTTTTGATAATAAAATTGTACTTCTGTGCCTTTGATATGCAGTATTAAACACTTGCTCAGTACTAGTGTTTTGATAATAAAAGTACTTCTGTGACATACAGTATTTACATCTTTTATACAGATATATTTTTTTTTTATAAACCTTTTGTTGTTTCAATGACCCAGTTTAGAAGTGGGAGGGTTGAGTACTAAAAACCTTAAACTTAAAACTTATTTTCTCTGGCTGTCTGATGATGCTCATGTCCAAAAGTTAAGATCCTTTTATTGGTTATCTTTAGTTAGACAGCTCAAGATTATGTTACAAATATTTGTAACAAGGATATGTGAATACCAGTTAGTTAAATGTTTTGACTGTTTCATTTCAGGTCTGACTTTTGATGAGAGAGACATTATCGAGGGAAGTTTTAGACAGGGAATCATCAAAGTTCTGATAGCCACATCAACTCTATCCTCGGGAGTAAACTTACCTGCCCGTAGAGTGATTGTAAGGTCACCTACATTCCATGCTGGCAAGATCATTGATATTTTAACATATAAACAAATGATTGGAAGAGCTGGAAGAAAAGGAGTTGATACTGAAGGTAAATTGTGCATTCAAATGAATTCATTTTTAATCAGGTTTTCTGACAGAAACTGGTTATTGATTTGTGGTTGTATGACCAGTGTTTAGGAAGGCTGCTGGATTGGTGGCTCCAGCTGTTCTGTGCAATAACTTTTGAACCATTCAACTGATGAACTTTTTTATTTTGACATATTGTAATATGGGAACTCTGTAAAACTGTTTATCAAGCTTTTGATTCTTGAAAGCAGATGAGAAGGGCAATGGTTGGTGAATTTTTAGAGCAATTGAAAAAGGAAGGACTCCTGATTTGCTTTGAAATAAACTTAATGCATCAAGATGTTTGCAAGTATTCATTAATGTGTATACATCCTGTTATTCTTTGAATATGGGACTTTAAAACAACCTTTTGAAGAAACAGAAAACAATTAAGCTTTATGATTTTTTATGAAACGTTTTGCATGCTTAATTTCTATTTGCATAATATTATGTACCTGATTTGATAATTAGTCTTGTTTTCTTTTCAGGAGAGAGTATTCTAATCTGCCGACCAAACGAGAGAGATAAAGCTGTAACATTGATATCCTCCTCCTTACCTCCTGTTCAAAGTTGTCTGGTCAGTAGGGAGGGACAGGAACTCAGCTCTAGTTTAAAAAGAGCAATTTTAGAGGTCAGTAGATTCATTCAATGGGACTGTCTTAAATTTCCACTGAAGAGTGAGCCTTGCTTTCGTGTTGAAGGCCTCACTGTGACTTTGTGAAGAAGAACAGCAATGAAAGCACTGTTCCTTTGCAGTTGGTTAATTGTGTGTAGGAATTTAGTGTCATGAATTAAAAAATCATACCACTTTTCCATTTCCTCATTAAGTCAGATTTAGTCCTCATAGATCCTCAAGATGTTTGATCACATTGGTTGGATATATCGCATTGACAACCAACAAGTGATCTATTTTCGTGAGTAGAAGAATAATGAGAATAAAAATTGTTGGGAATATGTTAAACTTGAAACCTCCCATATATAAATACATCAAGAAAATTAGAAAATCATAAAATAAAATCATCGTGTTGTCTGCTAAAAAAGGCTTAACATAAATTATGTGTAAATTGGTTCACAGTAATGCATATTAAGACTTAACATATCTTTTATCCATTGTTGATTTTCCACATCTGAAAACAGGGAATGACGCTTTGAAATTTCATGGTTGACCAAAAATCATGAAACTTGATTTAAAACCATCTAACTAACATTATAATAATTCAATATTATTTGAATCTTAATGTTTAAATGAATTCAGGTACAGTATACGTACATGAAAGAAACTTTCTTTCTTGTCAATTGGTTGATTACTATGAAAGTATTGTTCTTTATTTCATGTTATCATGCATACCTATGTTTTTGATATATCAAAATTTTACATCACTGATATTCTCTCTAGATTCAATATTAATAGAAAACATGCATACATGTGAACCTCCCAACTAGAGTACAATAATCCCGTTTTCAGGGGTCTCCTCCCGTCCTCCCGTTGAAGAGAAAAAAATCAAGTATAAAAAAATCATGAATGAAAATTTGAAGTCGCCATTTTTACTACGATGTTTACAAATGTTTATTATTGAAGACGTAAAAACCTGAGTGTATAGAACATACACGGCTAATTAACAAGTGATAACAGCTGCGGCTAATTAACAAGTGATAACAGTTTGATTAAACAATAAACAGGTGATAGGATATCAATCACTCGATCTGTCTTCTGTTTATGGCACACACCAAGGATGATTAAAAGTAAATACTGGCAATGATAGAAATGTGGAATATGTTTTCAAAAGACAAAACATTGATCGGAAGGTTTTGATGCAGAAAAAAACATTAAATAAACTTTCAACTCGATCAGCAAAGTTAAACTAGCTATTTCACACTCCAATGCGGACATTAAAGGACCTGCAACATTCTCAAGAAAATCCAATCTCACAGCAGAAAAACATTGACTCAAAGACAATTTACAACCTTCACAGTGTTGAGATAAACAACTACACAAACTCTTACCAGGATCCGGATTACTTTAGTATATAATTGTATTGAAGGCAGCCAAGTCAGCTTGTACTTATTTCATGACCCAGTGTTCATAGACTAGTGCATCAGTTATTAAATAACAATTGTCAATATAATAAAGACTTTTTTTTAATAGCTAATATATTTTACAGTGTTTGAAACAATGAGTCTTAAGGTTTCTAGCAAAATTACTATTTAATGCTTAAAAACTATCATCTATTTATCATGTTATAAATGTGTAGCATATTTCTTTCTTATATTTCTTTGCCAATGACATTGAGTACAAATAAAAAAAGATGAGGGGGCATGAATAAAACAATAGACTTTAATTTTCTCTTAGCACTCAAAGAAAAGGTAATCATAGTACAAAAAATTTACTTTCTTTATGGGCAGTCAACATTCAACAATCAAAAACAAAGCAAGAAACAGAATCTTCTAAATATTTCTTTCAAATGATATATCAATCACTAGGGTACTTGAAACAAATTACATTCAGATGGAAGATTGAAGAAAAAACACTTTAAAAGACAATTTTTACATCAGACGGTTACTTTTACGACAAAATTTATGTCGATAAAAAACCTCCTGCTTTGAGGTCTAAACTCCTGACCAAAATTTCCCAATCTCCTGATCTGAGTTTTACAGACCATTACATGTATGAACATGTCCTGTGAAATTTTAATATCTTTCTTCCAGATTGTTGTAAGTGGTGTCGCCACTGTCCCAGCAGATGTTGCCTTGTATACATCCTGTACCATGTTATCTGCTGCTATCTCAGCAGACGACAATGCAAATGAAGACATGATTGCAGCCTGTGTCAAATTCCTACAGGAAAATGAGTTTGTATGCCTACAAAAGGTTGCTATGGCTGATGGGAAGGAAGAAGAAAGATTTTGTCCAACACAACTGGGGTCAGCTGTTTTAGCTTCATCACTATCTCCACGTGAAGGATTGGTGGTGTTTGCTGAGTTACAGAAAGCTAGGCAATGCTTTGTCCTAGAAAATGAACTTCATATTATTTACTTGGTATGACACTTGACAGAACTGCTTGTTTTACATTTATATTGACAAGATTTTTTTTAAAAAGTACAGTGTTATAGTATTAGAATAACCTAACCAAAAACCAAAAATGAAAAAGTATGAACTAAAGTAAAAGCAAAATGGATATTGGTATATATGAAAGTTTGATTCTTTTGCTTAGCATGTTAAGTGTAATAAGTGGCTTTTATGGTCTGAATAAGGTTATAATTCAAACTAATATGTTTCAAATAGATATATTTTAACAACAGAAAATGGAGAAAACAAAAGAGTCAGTCAAAATGTCTGGTTCATATTTATCCATAATTTACAGGTAACCCCTATTTATAGTATGGACTTTGGTAGCAGTTTAGACTGGTACCAATACTATTGCCTCTGGGAAAGCTTATCTGTTGGCATGAAAAGAGTAGCAGAGCTTGTTGGGGTACAAGAGAGCTTCATAGCTCGTGCCATCAGGGGAAGGATTCTGACCAAAACTGAGACCCAGATGAGAAGTCTGGCAATCCATAGAAGATTTTACACATCTCTTATATTACATGATTTGGTACATGAGGTTCCTCTTCCTGAGGTGGCCAGGAAATATAATTGTAACAAAGGACAGCTGCAGTCATTACAACAGTCAGCTGCTACTTTTGCTGGTTTGTATTGACACATTAAGCATTTATAACAGTATGTTTGTATTGTATAATATAAAATAAGGAGATGTGATATGATTGACAATGGGACAACTATCCTCCAGAGTCCAGACTCCTATTGACAATCAACTATGTGTCACTGTACATAAGTTGACTCTAAATAATATATTGTTTGTTTAGCTTGACAGTTTGGTTGTATTATGTTGACTCAAAATAATTATATTCAAATATATTGGAAGTTCAACTGGTAATTAATTAATTATATTCAAATATATTGGAAGTTCAACTGGTAATTAATTAATTCAAATATATTGGAAGTTCAACTGGTAATTAATTAATTATATTCAAATATATTGGAAGTTCAACTGGTAATTAATGAATTATATTCAAACATATTGGAAGTTCAACTGGTAATTAATGAATTATATTCAAATATATTGGAAGTTCAACTGGTAATTAATGAATTATATTCAAACATATTGGAAGTTCAACTGGTAATTAATGAATTATATTCAAATATATTGGAAGTTCAACTGGTAATTAATTTATGTGGTTCATAAAACAGTAGTGTTTAAAGAAAAGTGGTTAATGTAATGTTATATACATATGACATTTAGTACCAGGGAATAACTGATCCTATAGTTTTTTTACCTAGATCCAATCTGAAATGAATTTCCCTTAGGTTTTATGTACAATTTTATTTTACCCTGATGTTATTGATATCACCAACTATTTGAACATTTTCACTATGCCATGATACTTATTAAAATATCTGGGGAGACCATCATCAAAAAAGGCATGCTAAATGATACATCATAGTTAAATGACTTAGTTAAAAAAAGGGAAAAAATATGAAACATTTGCTTTATACAGAATAAAACAAAGCAATTTTTTAGAAAAAATATTTTAAAACATTTTGCAGAAAGGAGGTATGAAAGGAGACATTACTGTGGATTCATTATTATTCGTTAGATACCAATTTTAGTGGAAACCACGAATTGATTTATTCAACGAACTACAAATTTGCTTTATGAATATATGCAGACTTTTGAAAAACCATGAAATTAAATATCCACGAAAGTGCAAGTTTTCCTCAATCCACGAAAATTGGTACCAATGAAAATAAATGAATCCACAGTATCTGATTAAAACAGATGTTGGAGGGTAGTAAGGGACTTTCAAATCCCCCAACAATGAACATACTTTCTTGGAGTAATTATACTTTTATCAAATGAACAAACAAACATGGCCCATGTCCAAAAATAAATTTCCCTTCCTACCCTCCTAACTTTATTTCAATGAAATAACCCTTATCAGAGTGTTTGCTATTGTATAGCCATTGAACAAATTTATATATTTTAGGTATGGTTACTGTTTTCTGTGCACGTCTTGGATGGCATAACCTAGAGTTGATCCTTTCTCAGTTCCAGAATCGTTTAACATTTGGTATACAGAGAGAGCTGTGTGATTTGGTCAGATTGACATTATTAAATGGCCAGAGAGCCAGGGTCCTTTACAATGCTGGTTACCATACTGTAACAGCACTGGCTAATGCTACTGAGGTTGATGTTGAATTGGTTCTGAAGAATGCTGCTCCATTTCAAAGGTTTTTTATTATTATAGAGGACTATTTAGAAACAATTTATATAGGTGGGTAGAATCTTTAAATTGAACTTGATAAGTAATGGTTCAAGATCAGCACCCAAATACAGTAGAGCGAGTGATCTATTAAAGGGGCTTTTGCAAATAGAAAAATATTCAGGATATAAATTGTTGCAAGTATGCCAAACCTGGATCTTCTCTAATATGAAAAATTTAACCAAGTGAGAAAAATCACAAGAAATCCCTGCAAAGTCAGCAAGAAATGGGGTCGAAAAAGTATCTGCAAAAATAATTTGGTTAATAGTATATAGGGAGTAATCAAAATTCCCATTTTTGACTCTAATTTTCAGCAAGAAACAGCATGAAAATGAAACAGAATATGAAGCAGCACAACGACAAAGCAGCAGGTGTATTTGGCTGACTGGTCGTAAAGGTGTGACAGAACTTGAAGCAGCTGAGACTATTATTAGTGAGGCAAAGTCACTCATACAAGAGGAACTTGGTGGTCTTGGAATTCAGTGGAAAAATGATCAGGATTCTGTCAATAAAACTCACCAAGATAAAAATGAAAGATCAAGTGTATTGGTGACTCCAAATGTTTCAAATTCTGAAAACAGCTTAACGCAGAAAAAGACATCAACTAATAGTTTTCATAGAAGAAGAACTAGTAAAGGAAGAAGGCGTTCATCTACAGGTTTGAAAAGACGGAGTTTGAAATCGGCAAATTCTAGTATAGCAAATGATGAGCTGCATGGTCAGGTTGTTGTAAATCCACCTGTCTTAGAAAAGCATGATTCTGGAAAGAAAATAAAATCAAATTTAAATGAAACTGGTGAAAAGTCTACAGTGAAAAAAACTGACACAGTTGTGAGCAATACGAACAATGGGGAAGTAAGTAAGACTGAAAGCAGCCGTCCATGTCAAATTGTTCCAAATAAAGTAGATGTGGAAATTGAAAATGTGAGCAAAAATGTTGTAACAATACAAGCTGATGTTCATCATGAAGTTGGTAAAGGTGAGGAAAAAATGCAAGTTGACCTTGACTGTAATTTGACTAATGATCTAGAAGATTTTTCACAAATAAATTTTACAATTGGGAAACATTGTACAAATGTTGAAAACATCGACAAGAACATAAATGATCTAAACATTCTTGAAACTGAGAGACATGAAAACCCTCCAAATGATATAACTGAAAAGAGAAATGATCAACCAGTAGTTCAAAATATCAAATTAAATATTGGAAGTGAAAAGCTTGGTGAGTTCTCGAATGGAATTTACATTGTGAGTGATAAAAGAAAAATTAATGAGGTACAAGAAAGTGAAGATTTGTTCATTGGTTTAACCCAGGAATTTGAAGTATCATGTCAGCCATTTGCCATACAACATCACACAAATGAAAATGCAAAGGATAAACTTTCCTATGACTCAGACTTAAAGCAGTTATGTAATCTAGACAGGAAAAGAACCAGTGATCAGAAAATACATTCAAATAATGAAAATGGAAACTTTATAGAGTTGGAAAGAGATGAAAATACTGACAATGGTCATGATGAATTTGCAGATAGTTTCTGTGTAAACACTCAAGTTGCTATGGAACTTTCCCATCATGAAAACAATTCTGAAAGTCTTTTAGGGTATACTGAAGACAAAAATGAAGGTAACATCATCAGAAATGGGAACAATACAAATGCTATGCAAGCTAAGAGTTTAAATGAAAAAGGATTCCAAAGAAATTGTAATAATGAACCAAAATTAAGTGATGATCAAACAGTTATGAAAACTAAGGACAAATCGACATCTCCAACAGTTGATTGTGATATCATTGAAATAAGTCCTGTTGGAGAACCACCATGCAAGACTGCTATGTCAGTCCCACTAGCAGCTACCCATGATGCATCACCAAAGATGGCTTACATTGAGAAAAATGGTCATGATGAATCTGTAGTTTTAATTGCTGCTAGTAACTTCGAGCGATGCATGTATGTTAATTCAGAGGACATATTTGAGGAATCAGGTCAGATCCCACAAAACGAATCCTACCAAGATTTACATATTCCTTTTCAGAGTGGACAGGAAAGGGTTTTTGAAGAGCATGAGAAGCAGCTGCCTAATGGTGTCTCTCAGTATCACAATTTGCAGGAGGACTTAGCTGTTGCCATGGAAATGGGTGATACATTTTCATCAACTTTTCAGGGAAATGACAACAATAAAAATCAGCATCCAATGGCAACACAGAATAATGAACTGAGTGACTCCTTAACATTGTCAATGGTTGAGAAAGTTCTAAATGATGAATCACCTGTAAATAAGGTTGGCAGTAAGGACAAGGAAGAGAATAGAATTGTGGGAAATGTAGAAATAATGGCAGACAACAGTAAAATTGTCAAAGAACAGAAAACAAACAGAAAACCAATGAAAAGTAAATTAAGCCCAGGAACATTAGCATTTCTGGATAATATGAATTCATTTTCAGCTGTAGAAATTTCACTGCAAGGAGATATGAATCAAAATAAAGATGATAAAATATCAAAATCTAATAATCTTAAAACAAATAAAGCTGTAGCAAGCCTTTCAAATTCCAAGAAGGATTTAAAGTGTAGTAGTAATGGAAATACAAGTACAGAAAATGACCTGTTGCCACCAACACCACCAGGAAATAATGCATCGTGCATGTCACCTCATTTGACCTCTAAAAGAATGACTCCAAATAAGTTGAAATTGACGCCAAGGAGAGGGAAAGCAGGAAATAAGTCTGCAAGATCGGTTGTGCAGGAGGAGAATACAACAGCATCAAAGAAAACAAAAACAGCTGATGTCACATCCGATTTTGAGAGAATTAAACATCAGATTTCTCAAGTGGAATGTGAAGATGATATTTCAGATTCTGAAAAAGATGTTGATTATACGGAAAGAACATTTGACTTTGAACCAGATCAGTCAGGAATTACATCTACACAAAGTTCACTTACTGTAATAGATGTATGTGCCGATACAAGACTGTTTGATACTTTTAGGAAGGAGTGGTCAACAAAGATGAAGTATTCTGTGTCTCTTGCCTGTGAGAGAAAGAAACCTGATCTGCCAAAAGGTGGAGGTATAGGTGGGAAGTTCATCAGAGGAAAAGATAAAGGTGATTACTATTTCTTTACTAATTCTAACATTTAGAAGACGTAATATCATTATTTTCTAGTATAGTGTTGGTCTTCCCAGGAGCCTGTATCCACATTCTTAGCTCTCTGTGAATATTTATATCATGTATTTTTAAGCAGTTAAGCTGCTTTATGCGAGCACCCTAGATTTGTGTTCTACCCAATAAATGCTGAAATATGTGCCACTGTTATTATCTGGCTGGCTATTATCTTATTTATAACTAATTGAACACTTTTTTCATACTTTTTATTCTGGAATACAAAAAATATGACCAGAAAAACCTTAAATGATCGTCGAACCACCCAAAAGTTTTGAAGTTGCACATAGAAAGTAGTGCTCGCTTGAAACCCTTATGTAGATTATTATCCCCTGTGCTTTTGGCTAAGATGTCAAAGAACAATTGTATGAAATATTTAATCGCCGAAAATCTCTAATTACAAGTCGTTTACATTTGCCAAATTGCAAAAAGCGCAGGAATATTGTATAACGGCTGTGACTAATATGACACGGTGTTAAGTCTCAGTTGGCGGTAATTTTAACTTCGTCGACAAAACGTAAATCAAGGACGTTCTAAATTTGGTGGATTCAGATAATACGAAGGTAATTAATATTAATCATTTTATTCGTTTTTGTCTGAGATGATTGTGATTATTTAAATCATCTTAATTAAATGTATGCTCATTTGTTTTCTTGTTAACACTATTCCGTTTATCTCGTAAATGAGCTTAATGCTTGTCAAATCAAGTTGTTGTTATTGTTATTGAATGAAATAAAACTAGAGATCTGATTGGTCGATGTCAAGGTCATTTCAAGATGGTTTCCTTTGTGTTTTACGTTCAGGCTTTGGTGTTACAGACTGCTACACGTGCTTTGATTTAGCTCAATATGCTTCAAATAATATTGAGATTAAAACTTTAACAATTATTTTCTAAAGGAACTTCCAAAGTCGCATATTTATGTAAAATATTAAGTCCGAATTTGTGACGCGTCTCGCACCGTAATTGTTTTTGATTTACAAGGACTTTTCGATTTCCTGTATTGAAAAATATAACTTTTTCGATGTTTCTTATTATGAATTTTTTCATATTTAAACACTCATGAAGTGTTCTAGAATCATTTCTATGCGACTTTTCCATGAAAATACTGCAAAAAGAAATCGCATGATAAGAACAGAAGGTAACGTTAACGTTGTCAACAAGTTGAAGTTACAAACATTTTTTTTCTTAATTCCTATTACAGTTATTTAAATGTCAAATAAATGTTTTTTTTTTATTATGATATTAATAATGGAAGACAGTGAAACCGTAATCAAGATATTTTAATTCACTTATAATTTTAAATAAAATTTAGAATAGGGAATGTGTTAAAGAGACAACAACCCGATCAAAGAGCAGACACCAGCCGAAGGTTACCAATGGATCTTCAATGCAGCGAGAAACTCCCACACCCGGAGGCTTGCTTCAGTTGGCCCCTTAACAAACATGTATACTAGTTCAGTGATAATGGACTTCATACTAAAATCAGAAATATACGCAAGAAATTAAAATTAAAAATCATACAACACTAACAAAGGCCAGGGGCTCCTGACTTGGGAC